TCCAAGATGGCGGAATTTACCATTTTTCGCGTTAAAAAAATACTTAACCTATCGCAACAAAACTGGTGGCTATGGAAAAGTAATCATTTATACCTTGCGTAAATTATTCAAGCACCTTAATGGGCTTTTATGACCCGAGTTAGGAAAGGAAACGACCCTTTGCCCCATAGACTCCCAGCAAAATTTAGCAATTAAATGGCGTCCATGTCCCGTGATCGCCGATCTAGCAGTTGCACCCACCCTCACTTGAGCCTCCCTACATGTCAAACATCGCGTAGATATCTCGCATGAAAGTTTTGCATTCTCTCTGCACTCGACCTGCGGAATGTTCATTGCTCTTAAGGATAGGTACGCAGGGCATATGGAGTGTCTGCGATTGGAAGCCGAGAATGAATGCGTGAGAGGTTTTGGTGCTTTCGCGTGACTAAGGCTCGAGGATACGGTTGATCACGTCAGACGTTCCCGGCCGATTTTCTTTTACGTCCGACCCATATTAGGTTGCTATAGGTTGCCGTGCCCGTGGGGAACGGCACTGCTACCGTAAGTTCGCGCTGTGATTTGTAAGCATGGTCCTCGGAGTCCTGAGCCCTCGGCGCACACCAGGCGCCGTCTTCATATATAAGATCTCTACCGCGCATACGTCCGACGTACCTTTGAAAAAATCGGCCGAGTATGTCCAACGTATGTAAGGAATGCCTTCCGGGTACGTCCAAACTACCTTTAGACACAGCGTTAATTCTCTGCTTGCAAGGCACCGGTAGTCGTCTGTAGGTGTCAACACGGCTGAGAATAGTTGATGGAAACCAATGTCGTTGGTCAAAGTTCTCAAGACAGTGCTTACTCGCTCGCGTCGAAGCTTGTGAACGGTTACACCTGAAACCACTTTATGTCTCTTTTTTTCGGATACAGCTTTTTCCGGGATACCAGCAAGCGCTACAGCTGTTGCGCCGTCTTGTTACAGAAGGACTGGGCATCCGCAGACACAAGTGCAGTCCTTCAACCACTGCTGGTGTCAAGTGCAGGAAAATAACAAGGGGCTCACAGATTTTTTACAGAGCAGCCGAGACAGCATAATGCTGGATTGTAACTCTGTTGTTACAGTGTCTTTCACCAAGCACAGCTGTTCCGGGGACGGCCACGTGCTGTCTTCTTGCCTGTTTGCTACGGTCGACACGGTGGAGGCAGGTCGTGACATTGCACGGACGGCTGGACACCGAAGCGACGCAGGCTGACCATCAACCTTCTCAAGGGTGACCCATCTTCAGCCTCCTGAGTACGCTGAAGGCATCATACTCACCTAGGTCTGGTGCCATTGCAGCAAAGCACTTCTGCGCTTCACGAGGCATGCTTGCTTCTCTTTTTATGACTTTCTCTCGGGGCTCTGTCAGCATCTTCTTTGACTCTTGCCTTTGTTCGAGCGGTCATTTGGATCGTGAGAGAAAATAGTCTGCAGGGACTCCTGTCCCTGTCCAATATAGTGCCTTTAGCTTTCAGTGACGTCTTTCAGAAGCGACTACTAACAAAAGTCTCCGCACTTTCTCTACACTGGCATGGATCGAAAGCATCCTTACACATATGTCACTCCAGAGGCACTCCTGTAGCTTCTGGCGTACCAGAAAGACATCTAGTTGAACCATTGCTCCCTTTTGTGATTTTTTTTTAAAAAACTTGCCCTATCCTTGTCTTTTAGTGTTTTTCTTTTCTTCTTATGTCTGTGTCATTTACAGAGTCATATCAACCACACAAAACTTAATGTAACTTTGAAAGTTATGTAGACCTAAGTAATGGTTAGTTACACATCAAAATATCTGCCGACATTTGTTCACTGCTTACTCCATTAGCATGCTGCCTGCGATGCGTCTCCGACTGGTGTGTTTACCGATTCTGAAAAAGTGGTCCCTCAATTTCCTCTCGGTGACGTCATACAAGCGTCATGCTGTTGCCGGCCGCAATCCTGGCAGTGTCACAGCAGCGCGGGTGAACGTGACGGACGCCTGTTTTGCTGCAGGTCGCTCTTCAGTGTTGCAGTCCACGGAAGTTTTGGCAGCTAGAAGTTGGGACGCCCTGACGACAGCGACACTCGTGTTCGGTTGTTCTACTCGCAGCCTTTTCGTTAGCATTTCTACGACCAACCGCCAGAATCACGACATGCAACAGCATGACACTTTGGCTTCTGTGACGTCATTTGTTGCCACTTTGGGACCACTTTTGATGTATGGGCAGCATAGGACGCTAAACACACCGGTTGGAAACACGCTACGGACACCATACTATATATAACCTTGACATGGAATCTGTCTTGCACTGTGAATGTCTTGTACATTTCTCTCGCTACCTTCTCTGGAATGCCGTTTTCTGATTCAAAGCGCATCCTTGATTTCTTATGCTGTAACCTCCGTCTGGTTTTTTCATCTGTCAACTGCCTTGCTTATGTTGAAATAGTGCGACCAAAACTAGAATATGCGTCCTCGGCGTGGGAGCCACATGTTAAATGTCTCTCATCCAATTTCAGGGGTGGATGCAGGAATTTCCTGGGGAGGGGGGGGGGGGGGGGGGGGGGGGTCAGGTGTTGGTCAGCGTACCATATCTTTAGGAACCCCCTCTCCCTCGTTTCACGCCCTAAATTTTACGCATGCAGAAATCAAGAAGGGGGGGTCAGGATATCCGGACCCCCCCTCTAAATCCGCCCCTGCCCAATCCGGATTTGGTTCAGAATCGGGCTAGTACTCGCTTTATTCTACATTTTAGGTTTGGTAGCATCACTGAACTTAAATGCAGTTTTTTTTTTCAAACTCCCCTGTGTTCATATAGGCATATTAGTAAACTTTGTCTCCATCATAGGTTTTAATTCCTGCATGATTTATTCATCTTGCCACCGCATCGGATATTCCCTCGCATTGATCACTGTTCCTCTCAACAGGCCTGTCGACTTTAATGGCCTGTCTGAAGCCACTGTTTCCCTCCAAGACATTGACTCCTTTCGTGACATATTAAGCTCAATATTTTATTAAATCACTCCATTATGCAATACCCTAACCCCAGGGCTCTTAGGATACTTAAAATAAATAAACAAAATGAAAAAAGTCGGTAGTTGGAAAGAAACTGGACGATTCTTGTCGTGAGAAGCCAAGTCTTTTGATATGTGGCGCCAAGTCTTCATAAATGGTGTTTTGCAAACAGAAGCCAGGCTCAGATGGCAAATGTAGCACAGGTTTAGTTATTGTCCACGAAAGAGCACGAGCTTGTTGAAGTATTGCCGGACGGGCACTCCCCTTTCCTCGGCACTTTGCTGCCGGCACATGTGGTGAATCCTCAGCTGAAAGTAGTATGCCAGCATCTTCTTGAGCATGACAGAGAAGTGAGATTGATTGTCAATTGTTTGTGCAACAAACAGGTGGTCGAACCTCTTGAAGGATGGTGACAAGGAGACAATACTCAATGTCTCGGTTTGCAGCCTGAGAAGCCAGTTCCGCCCTCCCTTGGCCACTGTGTCGAAGTTTCTGCGAAGCACCTTCTCGGCAGTGGTGCAGAGATGCAGAATGTCTGGGGATGGACTGTGGAGACCGCCCTTGTCCTTGACACGCACCAGGTCACATTTGTCAGTGGTGAGAAGTGCAATCCTTGCACAGTCCGGGCATTTTGCGTCTTTTGCAAAGTGAACGGCCACATTGCCCGCAATGTATTGTACAATGCTCTCGGCAAACTCCGAGAGAGGCTTGTATCCTATAACCCAGGTGGCGTCGGCGTCGTCCTGGCTTGTGTCAGCTGTCGGGTCTTGCTGGCGCTTGTCCGACGAGCTCAAAAGGAGCGTCTCCGTGCCGTCGACCTGACAGTTGCCACGGCTCGAGGGCAGCACATTCGCGATGAGGCACTTCCTGTACGCCGAGCGAAATTCGAGGGCCGTAGGATTGTTGTTGTTGCCCGTTCTGTTCCTGATTGTTGCAAAGAACAATTCGAGGTGGTCTTGACTTAGCTTGCGTGTCAGCAGGCACTTGAGCAAAGGACTGCTGCTCCAAACGAGGTCTTCAGCCAGACCCTTGATGGACTGGAGGGCCAACAGAAATCCAACAATGGCGGTCTTTCTTGGACCTTGGATCAGGGGTCTGCCCGTGGTATCCTTTAGGCCTCTGAGATAGCGCGAGGCTTTGTCAATCCTTGTCAAGATTGTCTCCTTGTTGTTGACGCGAATGGGGGCCTTGCTGCCAAGAGCGAGAGGGTGGCAGGAATTGGTGAGGTCAAACGTGTCGTCCACTACTGCTGCAAACTCGGCAGTGGCCTCCACACCCTCAAAGCCGGGGATCTGCTTTTCCTTGCAGAACAACAAGGCGCAGCTGACGGAGCGGCTTAACGTCTGTGCCGCCAACGACACCTTCATCTTCTGTTGGTGGAAATCGATGTGCCGTCTCCGAAGTTTGTTCCCGGCGTGTAGGCCTTCCTTTTGTTGTAGGCGATCCAAACACATTATGTAATGCCAGGCAACAGTCCTACCCGCACCATCCCTGATGAGCTCCTTTTCAGCCAGCAGGTTTCGCATGAGCTTCAACATGTGGCATGCGTCTAAGATTGCATACACCCTTCTTGACGGGTCGGAGGGGTGAGGGAACCAGCTCTTCATTCTTGGTTCCGCCAGGCTTACGCCAAGCGCTGAGAGCATGGATAGATTGCAGCTTGTGCCGTCGCACGTCACAGAGATGCAGTCGGCACCAGCCTCCTTCAATTTTATCAGGTATTGCTGGACCAAATTGGACCGAACAGTGCCGTCGAGTCCATCAATCAGGGCATATCCCAGAGGTAGCTTCCAGTTGCGGTTGACGGCAACTGCCAGGAAAACAAGCGCGTGCTTCGCATTTGCAATGCAGTCGTCTTTGAGGATGCCATGGCCCAGGTCGCAGTAGCCTACAACTTCCTTGCCGTCCCAGTCCGCTTGTTTCTTTATACTAATCTCATCTACCATAAGGCTGATGAGGAGAGGTCCTTTCTGAGCTTCGTGGCAAACTTTTTCGAAGCACTCCTTTGTGAAGCCCGGCTTCGCACCAATCACGGCTGCCCATTTCCGAAGTGCGCTGGGGTGAGGCAGTTTCACATGTTTGCGCAGAAATTTGTAAGCTTTGGCCGAATAGAAATGCAGTGTCAAGGCAAACTTGCGCACATCTTCCGAGTAGCTGTTGTTTGCCTTTCCTGTTTTTTTCAGCACAATGTCTCGCAGTGTGCCACTGAAGATGTTGTCCAGGATGGCTACCGCTGGTTGAGGTAGCTGTGCCCTGAGTTTCTTCAGCAGCGCATTGAGTTTTTTTATCTTCATTCCCTTCCGGTTCGCCTTTCTTTTTGCTTGTCTTAGGATCTTCTTGGCTTTTCGCAGCTTGCGCTTGCTGGCAGCTAGAAGCATCCTGTCCCGTCGTGGAGACACAACTGTGTAGCTGTGGTCGCCAGAGCAGGTGGCCGGCCGTGAGGATGGAGCTTCGGGGCTGCTTGACGCTGCTTGAGAATCTGCTGTGGATGGGGCGTGTGGAGAGGGAAAGTCAGTCTGGCGGGACCGTTGAGATCGGACCACTTGGGAGGTGGAGGGAAAGTCAGTTCGGGGGTGTTGTTGAGGTCTGTCCGTTTGAGGGGTGAACAGTGTGGGCACTGCTCCTTGTTTGAGGTTAGTCTTGCCAACAAGCCTGTGGAAGCAGTCATTTTCGAAGTGCTCTGAACACAGCTTGGAGAACTTGGTGGGAGTCCAGTGTATGCATTCCATTTTCTGCAGCCATGCCTGGAGGAGTTCTGGATGTCTCAGTGGAAATCTGCGGGAGACAACGAGGTCGGACTGCCAAAACACCGAAACAATGCTGTCTTTCAATAAAGCAAATACATATTTGTGCATTTCTAATTATTGTTTGTGTGCATTTTATTATAGAAAAATATGCTTATTCTAAACTACCCCTTCTGCCTCATTTATATGCCACTAATATTTGAAGTTTCTGAAACATTTGTTGCAAGTATGACGAGCAGGTAATTTGAAATGTTTCAAACCCAATTTGGAGTAGTTTAGATAATGTGCTTCAACCACAGAGCAACTTTCAAATATGTGCGGTTGTCCTACATAAATGTGCCCAAAACTGCAAGTTTAGATCCAATGATTGCGCTTGCTTGCCTATCGCATATTTAACTGTATTATAATGATGCGACTTAATTATGCCGAAATGCGGGCTAAGGTTCGTAAAGTTCGCAACGCAGTTGGAAAGAGTTGACCGCAGTAATTTGAGAGTTAGTGGAAAGCTTACCCGTGGAACGTTATTGCCGAGTCCTTCTTGTACCTGTTAGTACAGTTAGGAGCCGCGCACGAATGCGGCATAGCTTTTAGAGTTCAAATCAAGTTAGAAATAAAATGGCAAAGGAATCGGACACGACGAGCTGACAGCCTCTGAACCACAGGAATATGCGCAGTCGTCTGCTATCTTTTGGCCGCAAATTCAAACGAAGCTTGATTGAAGTCAATGTTGTAGATTACTTTATTACATCAGTTATAAGCACTAAAAAACTGTGCCACTTTGTCAACATTGCAGTTATAACCAAAATCACACAAAAAATTGCGCGCCAAAATTGTCGTCTGCTACTTTTTGCGCGCCCTAGCTGCTGCTGTTCAATTCCATGAAATGCTCAAACCGGCATCTTCCAGCGATAATACGAAATCGGCATACACATATCAAGCAACAAATAGGAATTTCCGTTCTCAGTAGCATGCATTAGACTATCGAAGTGATATGTTTGAAATCATACTTGCGTGCCTGCAAGATGCTTCCACCACAGTGCAGTGTTGAAATGTGCACCGTTGTCAAGGGGGTTTGTATTAATGCATGCTACTGAGAACGGAAATTCCTATTTGTTGCTTGATATGTGTATGCCGATTTCGTATTATCGCTGGAAGATGCCGGTTTGAGCATTTCATGGAATTGAACAGCAGCAGCTAGGGCGCGCAAAAAGTAGCAGACGACAATTTTGGCGCGCAATTTTTTGTGTGATTTTGGTTATAACTGCAATGTTGACAAAGTGGCGCAGTTTTTTAGTGCTTATAACTGATGTAATAAAGTAATCTACAACATTGACTTCAATCAAGCTTCGTTTGAATTTGCGGCCAAAAGATAGCAGACGACTGCGCATATTCCTGTGGTTCAGAGGCTGTCAGCTCGTCGTGTCCGATTCCTTTGCCATTTTATTTCTAACTTGATTTGAACTCTAAAAGCTATGCCGCATTCGTGCGCGGCGCCTAACTGTACTAACAGGTACAAGAAGGACTCGGCAATAACGTTCCACGGGTAAGCTTTCCACTAACTCTCAAATTACTGCGGTCAACTCTTTCCAACTGCGTTGCGATCTTTACGAACCTTAGCCCGCATTTCGGCATAATTAAGTCGCATCATTATAATACAGTTAAATATGCGATAGGCAAGCAAGCGCAATCATTGGATCTAAACTTGCAGTTTTGGGCACATTTATGTAGGACAACCGCACATATTTGAAAGTTGCTCTGTGGTTGAAGCACATTATCTAAACTACTCCAAATTGGGTTTGAAACATTTCAAATTACCTGCTCGTCATACTTGCAACAAATGTTTCAGAAACTTCAAATATTAGTGGCATATAAATGAGGCAGAAGGGGTAGTTTAGAATAAGCATATTTTTCTATAATAAAATGCACACAAACAATAATTAGAAATGCACAAATATGTATTTGCTTTATTGAAAGACAGCATTGTTTCGGTGTTTTGGCAGTCCGACCTCGTTGTCTCCCGCAGATTTCCACTGAGACATCCAGAACTCCTCCAGGCATGGCTGCAGAAAATGGAATGCATACACTGGACTCCCACCAAGTTCTCCAAGCTGTGTTCAGAGCACTTCGAAAATGACTGCTTCCACAGGCTTGTTGGCAAGACTAACCTCAAACAAGGAGCAGTGCCCACACTGTTCACCCCTCAAACGGACAGACCTCAACAACACCCCCGAACTGACTTTCCCTCCACCTCCCAAGTGGTCCGATCTCAACGGTCCCGCCAGACTGACTTTCCCTCTCCACACGCCCCATCCACAGCAGATTCTCAAGCAGCGTCAAGCAGCCCCGAAGCTCCATCCTCACGGCCGGCCACCTGCTCTGGCGACCACAGCTACACAGTTGTGTCTCCACGACGGGACAGGATGCTTCTAGCTGCCAGCAAGCGCAAGCTGCGAAAAGCCAAGAAGATCCTAAGACAAGCAAAAAGAAAGGCGAACCGGAAGGGAATGAAGATAAAAAAACTCAATGCGCTGCTGAAGAAACTCAGGGCACAGCTACCTCAACCAGCGGTAGCCATCCTGGACAACATCTTCAGTGGCACACTGCGAGACATTGTGCTGAAAAAAACAGGAAAGGCAAACAACAGCTACTCGGAAGATGTGCGCAAGTTTGCCTTGACACTGCATTTCTATTCGGCCAAAGCTTACAAATTTCTGCGCAAACATGTGAAACTGCCTCACCCCAGCGCACTTCGGAAATGGGCAGCCGTGATTGGTGCGAAGCCGGGCTTCACAAAGGAGTGCTTCGAAAAAGTTTGCCACGAAGCTCAGAAAGGACCTCTCCTCATCAGCCTTATGGTAGATGAGATTAGTATAAAGAAACAAGCGGACTGGGACGGCAAGGAAGTTGTAGGCTACTGCGACCTGGGCCATGGCATCCTCAAAGACGACTGCATTGCATATGCGAAGCACGCGCTTGTTTTCCTGGCAGTTGCCGTCAACCGCAACTGGAAGCTACCTCTGGGATATGCCCCGATTGATGGACTCGACGGCACTGTTCGGTCCAATTTGGTCCAGCAATACCTGATAAAATTGAAGGAGGCTGGTGCCGACTGCATCTCTGTGACGTGCGACGGCACAAGCTGCAATCTATCCATGCTCTCAGCGCTTGGCGTAAGCCTGGCGGAACCAAGAATGAAGAGCTGGTTCCCTCACCCCTCCGACCCGTCAAGAAGGGTGTATGCAATCTTAGACGCATGCCACATGTTGAAGCTCATGCGAAACCTGCTGGCTGAAAAGGAGCTCATCAGGGATGGTGCGGGTAGGACTGTTGCCTGGCATTACATAATGTGTTTGGATCGCCTACAACAAAAGGAAGGCCTACACGCCGGGAACAAACTTCGGAGACGGCACATCGATTTCCACCAACAGAAGATGAAGGTGTCGTTGGCGGCACAGACGTTAAGCCGCTCCGTCAGCTGCGCCTTGTTGTTCTGCAAGGAAAAGCAGATCCCCGGCTTTGAGGGTGTGGAGGCCACTGCCGAGTTTGCAGCAGTAGTGGACGACACGTTTGACCTCACCAATTCCTGCCACCCTCTCGCTCTTGGCAGCAAGGCCCCCATTCGCGTCAACAACAAGGAGACAATCTTGACAAGGATTGACAAAGCCTCGCGCTATCTCAGAGGCCTAAAGGATACCACGGGCAGACCCCTGATCCAAGGTCCAAGAAAGACCGCCATTGTTGGATTTCTGTTGGCCCTCCAGTCCATCAAGGGTCTGGCTGAAGACCTCGTTTGGAGCAGCAGTCCTTTGCTCAAGTGCCTGCTGACACGCAAGCTAAGTCAAGACCACCTCGAATTGTTCTTTGCAACAATCAGGAACAGAACGGGCAACAACAACAATCCTACGGCCCTCGAATTTCGCTCGGCGTACAGGAAGTGCCTCATCGCGAATGTGCTGCCCTCGAGCCGTGGCAACTGTCAGGTCGACGGCACGGAGACGCTCCTTTTGAGCTCGTCGGACAAGCGCCAGCAAGACCCGACAGCTGACACAAGCCAGGACGACGCCGACGCCACCTGGGTTATAGGATACAAGCCTCTCTCGGAGTTTGCCGAGAGCATTGTACAATACATTGCGGGCAATGTGGCCGTTCACTTTGCAAAAGACGCAAAATGCCCGGACTGTGCAAGGATTGCACTTCTCACCACTGACAAATGTGACCTGGTGCGTGTCAAGGACAAGGGCGGTCTCCACAGTCCATCCCCAGACATTCTGCATCTCTGCACCACTGCCGAGAAGGTGCTTCGCAGAAACTTCGACACAGTGGCCAAGGGAGGGCGGAACTGGCTTCTCAGGCTGCAAACCGAGACATTGAGTATTGTCTCCTTGTCACCATCCTTCAAGAGGTTCGACCACCTGTTTGTTGCACAAACAATTGACAATCAATCTCACTTCTCTGTCATGCTCAAGAAGATGCTGGCACACTACTTTCAGCTGAGGATTCACCACATGTGCCGGCAGCAAAGTGCCGAGGAAAGGGGAGTGCCCGTCCGGCAATACTTCAACAAGCTCGTGCTCTTTCGTGGACAATAACTAAACCTGTGCTACATTTGCCATCTGAGCCTGGCTTCTGTTTGCAAAACACCATTTATGAAGACTTGGCGCCACATATCAAAAGACTTGGCTTCTCACGACAAGAATCGTCCAGTTTCTTTCCAACTACCGACTTTTTTCATTTTGTTTATTTATTTTAAGTATCCTAAGAGCCCTGGGGTTAGGGTATTGCATAATGGAGTGATTTAATAAAATATTGAGCTTAATATGTCACGAAAGGAGTCAATGTCTTGGAGGGAAACAGTGGCTTCAGACAGGCCATTAAAGTCGACAGGCCTGTTGAGAGGAACAGTGATCAATGCGAGGGAATATCCGATGCGGTGGCAAGATGAATAAATCATGCAGGAATTAAAACCTATGATGGAGACAAAGTTTACTAATATGCCTATATGAACACAGGGGAGTTTGAAAAAAAAACTGCATTTAAGTTCAGTGATGCTACCAAACCTAAAATGTAGAATAAAGCGAGTACTAGCCCGATTCTGAACCAAATCCGGATTGGGCAGGGGCGGATTTAGAGGGGGGGTCCGGATATCCTGACCCCCCCTTCTTGATTTCTGCATGCGTAAAATTTAGGGCGTGAAACGAGGGAGAGGGGGTTCCTAAAGATATGGTACGCTGACCAACACCTGACCCCCCCCCCCCCCCCCCCCCCCCTCCCCAGGAAATTCCTGCATCCACCCCTGAAATTGGATGAGAGACATTTAACATGTGGCTCCCACGCCGAGGACGCATATTCTAGTTTTGGTCGCACTATTTCAACATAAGCAAGGCAGTTGACAGATGAAAAAACCAGACGGAGGTTACAGCATAAGAAATCAAGGATGCGCTTTGAATCAGAAAACGGCATTCCAGAGAAGGTAGCGAGAGAAATGTACAAGACATTCACAGTGCAAGACAGATTCCATGTCAAGGTTATATATAGTATGGTGTCCGTAGCGTGTTTCCAACCGGTGTGTTTAGCGTCCTATGCTGCCCATACATCAAAAGTGGTCCCAAAGTGGCAACAAATGACGTCACAGAAGCCAAAGTGTCATGCTGTTGCATGTCGTGATTCTGGCGGTTGGTCGTAGAAATGCTAACGAAAAGGCTGCGAGTAGAACAACCGAACACGAGTGTCGCTGTCGTCAGGGCGTCCCAACTTCTAGCTGCCAAAACTTCCGTGGACTGCAACACTGAAGAGCGACCTGCAGCAAAACAGGCGTCCGTCACGTTCACCCGCGCTGCTGTGACACTGCCAGGATTGCGGCCGGCAACAGCATGACGCTTGTATGACGTCACCGAGAGGAAATTGAGGGACCACTTTTTCAGAATCGGTAAACACACCAGTCGGAGACGCATCGCAGGCAGCATGCTAATGGAGTAAGCAGTGAACAAATGTCGGCAGATATTTTGATGTGTAACTAACCATTACTTAGGTCTACATAACTTTCAAAGTTACATTAAGTTTTGTGTGGTTGATATGACTCTGTAAATGACACAGACATAAGAAGAAAAGAAAAACACTAAAAGACAAGGATAGGGCAAGTTTTTTAAAAAAAAATCACAAAAGGGAGCAATGGTTCAACTAGATGTCTTTCTGGTACGCCAGAAGCTACAGGAGTGCCTCTGGAGTGACATATGTGTAAGGATGCTTTCGATCCATGCCAGTGTAGAGAAAGTGCGGAGACTTTTGTTAGTAGTCGCTTCTGAAAGACGTCACTGAAAGCTAAAGGCACTATATTGGACAGGGACAGGAGTCCCTGCAGACTATTTTCTCTCACGATCCAAATGACCGCTCGAACAAAGGCAAGAGTCAAAGAAGATGCTGACAGAGCCCCGAGAGAAAGTCATAAAAAGAGAAGCAAGCATGCCTCGTGAAGCGCAGAAGTGCTTTGCTGCAATGGCACCAGACCTAGGTGAGTATGATGCCTTCAGCGTACTCAGGAGGCTGAAGATGGGTCACCCTTGAGAAGGTTGATGGTCAGCCTGCGTCGCTTCGGTGTCCAGCCGTCCGTGCAATGTCACGACCTGCCTCCACCGTGTCGACCGTAGCAAACAGGCAAGAAGACAGCACGTGGCCGTCCCCGGAACAGCTGTGCTTGGTGAAAGACACTGTAACAACAGAGTTACAATCCAGCATTATGCTGTCTCGGCTGCTCTGTAAAAAATCTGTGAGCCCCTTGTTATTTTCCTGCACTTGACACCAGCAGTGGTTGAAGGACTGCACTTGTGTCTGCGGATGCCCAGTCCTTCTGTAACAAGACGGCGCAACAGCTGTAGCGCTTGCTGGTATCCCGGAAAAAGCTGTATCCGAAAAAAAGAGACATAAAGTGGTTTCAGGTGTAACCGTTCACAAGCTTCGACGCGAGCGAGTAAGCACTGTCTTGAGAACTTTGACCAACGACATTGGTTTCCATCAACTATTCTCAGCCGTGTTGACACCTACAGACGACTACCGGTGCCTTGCAAGCAGAGAATTAACGCTGTGTCTAAAGGTAGTTTGGACGTACCCGGAAGGCATTCCTTACATACGTTGGACATACTCGGCCGATTTTTTCAAAGGTACGTCGGACGTATGCGCGGTAGAGATCTTATATATGAAGACGGCGCCTGGTGTGCGCCGAGGGCTCAGGACTCCGAGGACCATGCTTACAAATCACAGCGCGAACTTACGGTAGCAGTGCCGTTCCCCACGGGCACGGCAACCTATAGCAACCTAATATGGGTCGGACGTAAAAGAAAATCGGCCGGGAACGTCTGACGTGATCAACCGTATCCTCGAGCCTTAGTCACGCGAAAGCACCAAAACCTCTCACGCATTCATTCTCGGCTTCCAATCGCAGACACTCCATATGCCCTGCGTACCTATCCTTAAGAGCAATGAACATTCCGCAGGTCGAGTGCAGAGAGAATGCAAAACTTTCATGCGAGATATCTACGCGATGTTTGACATGTACTACGACCGATTCGGATCGGTGCCCATACCTGGTTAGATCTTGTGCCATACGTTCATACCCGGCTCTATTTGTTCATCGTCTGCCTAGCCAAACATAGCACGCATGGAGATTTTCCAATCTCCCACAGCACGATCATCGCGGTTCAATGCGACTCGCACCGCCGTTGCCGCCGTCGCCGCACCAGCCGCCCCCGACCAGCTCGCACACGCACACACTCGCGCTCGGCTCGGCTACAGTGGCTCCCATTCAGGCGGCCGTGTCGCCGTGTTCCAAAATTTACTCTATCTCACTCTTGGGAAAAGGTCTCGTACCCGTTGCGTTCAAAAACCTACCCGCGTCAACCTGTCTTGTCACGTGACTTGATTCGCCGGAATAACTCGGGTCTATTTGAGTAAGATTGGAACACATCCCCAGAGAGCCCATCTGCTGACCGTGATCTGGCCAATCTGATCTGACCCACCTCTGGGCGCAGCCATCTTTAAGTCACGTGATCACTAATGTGGCAAACAGGCAAGATGGCGGCAATCGGGGGGGTGCCATTTTCGGCTGCTGGTTTACCGCTCTAAGTTTACTCAAGCTCGTTGAGACGAGCCAGGTGCCGCTATTTTGAAACAGAACTAGCTGCGAAGAATGCGGATTTGGTCGCGCAAGCTGCAACGAAGAAGCATGTTTCGGCCACTGCACCTTTCTCCTCTGGTAGCAGACGACTCTACGAGTTGAACGGGTGACGCATTGCTGAAGGGTCCCTTGCCATGTTCGTATGTGTTCACTCTGCAATTTTGGCTTCGTATCACCTGGGTAGAGATGAGTGACCTGTGTGAACTGTGGCGTGGCGTGACAGATTTCTAGTCAAAACAAAAGGAAAGCTTCCTTTCAGATGGCATTGATATGATCTTTACTGTTATTATACCTCTGTCAAGAATTAAAGCAAAAAAAAAAAAAAAGTCTAAAAAATTGTTTTGCGCTGTGTTTTGAATTTAGCGGTTTTTTAGCGGATATCGGGATTCTGACTGCGGGTTTTCAATTTTTGAGTTGGCAACACTGATTGCCACGTTGCCCACGTTGCCGTTGACCGAACGCCTCCTCGCCAGAGATAATACATATCTATAAAGGGGGCGTTGGCGCGTTGGTTCGACTGTAGTGACTGTAGTTCGACAAAGAGGACGAAGCTGCGGCCATGGCCACCCTGAATATGACCATCATCCAGGAGTTGGGCCTGGAAAAACGGGGATTCCGCGCCGTGGCACCCAACGACAAAACCACCTGCTACATGCCCGGTTTCAAGAACGCCTCTCACTGCGTCCTGTGGGCGACGAGCGACGCCAGGGCGTCCGGAAACAACCCCGTCAGGGCGCTGATCCTGATGCAGTTCCGCGTCGACGGCAGCCTGGGGTTTCCAGGAGGCTTTCTGAACCCGGGAGAGTGCCCCGCCGCCGCCGCCAACCGCGAGATGAGGGAAGAGATTAACCTGGACACGAGCAAGCTGTTCGTGACGCCCAACAACCATCTCATCACGTTCATCAACGACCATAGCAAGGTGGTGCTGCATTTGTACTCCTTGGAGATCGGGGAGGAGGACTTCAAACAGCTCGAGAAGAGGATCCTGGAGGCCCCCCACTATGGACGGGAGACCCTGGGCTTCTTCAGGGTGCCGCTCTTCAACATAGCCACCGGTGGGTTCGAGACCCTGCTTCGACAGGTCTTCATCGGGATGGCCATGGAGCAGCTGTTGTACGCGCTGGTCAAGCTCGGCATTATGACGTCGGAAGAAGTGATGACTGTGGGTTGTCTGAAAAAAGGAGTGTAACGGGGTGGAATCTCGCGTTAAAAGTGGGTGCTCGCTCGAAGTGGCGTTCCTTGTGACGTTCAAAGGAGTTTGCATCTTAAATTTCCAGCGTATTGCACTAAAACCCGTATTCAGTGTGTCTATATCGTCTAAGTTTACCAAACGTTAATTTCTAGTGTCTCAGGCCAGTGTATAGTCAGGAATTTGTTTTTGGGGGAGGGGGAGGTGGGGGGGAAGTGTAGCTAGGATGTCCGTGACTTGGGGAGGGGGGGAAGGGGTGGGGTCACAATGCATGAGTACATTTCATATAGGTTCGGCTGGACTTCCACTGGCTACGTCACTGTCGCAGACGTCATGGCTTCGCTATGCGTCTTGAGGAACGCTGGTAACGAAATACAGATGAATGCATGTTCTGTAACGACTGTAACCCATAAGTTTATATTTCATAAAAAAAAAAAAGGAAAACTGTGTAGTGTTTGACATGTTCCGATTGAGCGAAGCTCGCTGCTGATGGACTGGGCGACATTCGCCCTGCTTGATCTTAAATTTAACGATAGGATGGTGACGACAGTAAAAGAGTCCTTCATGCGGGGTAAGACCAGGGCCAGACAAATGTCAGGAAGGCAGGGTTAAAAAAGTGAAAGCCATTTACAACTCCCTGTAACGCCGAATTGGAGCGCAGCTCTTGAGGAGGAGGAGGGAAGGGTACTGGAGGAGGGTAGACCCTTCCTCCTTCTCCTCCCCTCATTCTTGAATATGCTCCGGGGGGGGGGGGGGGGGGGGGAGGCGGAGTTACGTGACCCCCAAGGTCGCATGACCTTGGTGGGTCACTTGACCTTGGGGTTACCTTGGTTACGGCGACGCCGCTCAGGCCGGAAACGGGCACTTGAGAGCTGCGCTCTAAAAAATTGGGAATTGGGGGGGGGGATTTTTTTTAATTTCCCACTCTTCTACTTCGTGACGACACTTTTTGGCACTTCTTTTTAGAGAACAGCTACGAACAGTTCACGGTGTTGAATAGCTTAATGTTAACACATTTAAGCTCTCCTAAAGCGGTGCTAAAATGGCAGAACGCATATGTGAATGGAAACTTGGGTTACTTTTCTACATTGGCTTTACAATTTTAGCGAATGTTTTACTTTTCATTTGCTATATGGGGAGCAACAACGTGGCGAAGAGGCGCAAAATAAAATCGGATGTACCCTGCGCGGCACTGTTAGCGCGAACAAGTGATTGCCTTTTATTATTTTTTTTTTGTTTTGAGTCAAGGTCATTGAAACTTCTCCACGTGCTCACTTGGGGCCAGAACGGAATCGCTAAAATATGATGGCGATCTGAGGGATCGGAAGCATCGCTGTGATCGGTCTTCCTCGATGGGCTGCATGCTGATTATGATGTCAGCAAAGGATTTCCCATCGACGGAACTAAGATAAATGGAAGAACTTCAATTTTGACGGTGTTGGCAGTGTTGGTTTGAGAGTGCTATGATTTCAAGTTTCCACCATGCTCTTTACAAGCACCTTCAAACCTGTTCACAAGGTAATGACGTCACGAAAGGTAACCATAGGAGGGCGCCACCAAAATATATCGCCGCCGATAATGCGAAAATGCACCGATGTCGTGTTCCTGCTGATATACTCTGTTTCACCTTGTGTTGTACCGCAGGAACGGCTACAAGCGCGAGCTCCTTGCTCTAGGGCACATCTCTCGGCGGCACAAGGTTTCGTGCACCAAGGACAGCTGCCAACACTATGAGCTCGCGCTTCTAGCCTTCGCTGCGGTACAACATAAGATGAAACTGAGTATAGTGTCGCTGTCGGGCAAAAACAACAGTGACTTTAACAACACCCGAGGAGAGAACGTATTTCAGTTTCCACACACTTTCGCGCCGTTTGTGGGGCGATATTGTTTATTCAGCTGTAAAAATGTTTGTATGTCTACTCTCCATCAGAACCGGTGGGAAACCCAACCACTGCTATCTAGAGCCAACCACTGCAATCTCAGCGACTGATAAAAACAAAACTACAAGATGTAAAAAAAAACATAATTTTTTACTATTATTATAATTTTTTTTAACCGCAAACCGAACCTGCAAATGCCATGGTTTAAGAACTAACCTTTTTTTTTAACTCAAAAATGAAGTCACAATTGAGCTTCTGAAATTTTCGATTGAAAAATGGCAACCGACGGAGCTCTCGATCACATGGAGCTGAGTGGCGCCCAAGAAATGTCGTGTAGCTCGGAGAAAATCGGAACTGCAATTAGGGACTTCCGCATAATTATCAAAGAACAATCTAAAACGTCTTGGAACGAAAGACTGTTTACGTGTAATGCTCCTACACGTCTTCCTTTTGCACACTGCGCTCCAGCTCCTCCCTTGCACAGGCGCGGCGACCCTCGCCGGCTCCACGGCTGCCGTGACTATGCATCTGCTTTGCTGCGCTTCTCTTTAGGTTTTATTTCTGAGGCGCGTCCGCTTTTACCTGGAGCGGCGCCGCTGGCTTCCGTGATGAAGCATCTGATATGGCGTGTCGCAGCCAATGGGAATTTAGGTGCCGTTTCGCTGCTCCAGACAACGGCCACCGACTACGCGCCGGCTTCGCTCCATAGGACAGTTAATGCCTTCACATTAAAACGGTAGAAATCCTCCTTGGAATCTATTGACAATAAACTATTAAAATATTTATTGCATACTATTGGAAAACTATGAATAAAAGATATCAACTTGATAGCCATTTTGTTCTTAGCCCGAGACTGAGGCAGGAAAAGAGGAAAGTTTCAAAGTAGAAGAAAAATGAACAGTCGAGGACACGTCTCTAACAAAATGGTTAACATCCACCAGCTCGCCTGCGCAATCACTACGTTATCAACTTGATAGGTTGTTGAAGTTTTTTTGTTTGTTTGTTTAGCTGTTTTAGATTGCTTTTCGGAGTGTGGCTTTTGCCTTTTATGATCTCAATCAGAAAAATGAATATCCCTTGTCGTCCCTGATAAATAAACTCTCTATGCTCAAATAAACTAAAACTCAAATAAAAAAATAAGTTTGGCGTTTTTTTTTTTTTTTTTGGGAACAAGCGGGTTTTGAGAAGGAAGGAAACAGTATTGCCTTTTTGATTCACAAGCCTTTTTTCACTGAAATAATGCCTCACTGCCAACAATATCGTGATTTGGATCGCAAGAAATGTTTGTTTTTACCCTTTATTTTTGATCCAGTTTGTTTGTTTGTTTATTTTATTTTTTGACTGTCAAGGGGGTTAGGACAAAAGGCGAATACAATCACTTGACTGGGTCCCAACCCCTGTAACAACACTCAATAGCAGGGCACAAATCGAGATAGAGAAATAAAATGGAAAATGAAAAGCCAGCTTGCAGCACTAGTCAAGAAAGAAATTATTTTAACCAACTAAACTCTCTCCAGCTCAAAAAACACTGATTAATAACACAACTCGCTAGGTATGTAAACAAGCAACATTGAAATATGTAAGCAGTGAGAGAGTGCAGGCGAGCTGGTAATCAATTGACATCTTGTAAACCCTGAGATGGGGAACGGTAAAAAAAAAAACGGACGAACACAACAAAATCTATAATATTCCCTTAGGTATTTTTTGAAATGAAACATAGAAGTGATTTCCTGGGCCGTCTCATACACGCAATAATGTTTGTTTAGAATATCTAATCTGGTAGGATAATTTTTGAGTACCAAAATTAGTTCTCATTTTTGGTTTTGGAAACTGCTGGTGCCTCAGGTTGTTATTTGTTTGCTTGGGTAGGTACGTATCATGAAAGATCTCAGGATCAGTGTTAATTTGTGCGTGAATTGAAATCGCCACCTTTAGACAAAAAAGGTTATCTACCGTAAGTAGGGGTGTCGCGAACCGGCCGCGGTTCGAGTTCGACCAGGTTCGACTTTTTCGACCTTTCAGTGGAAAGTTCGTTGAACCTTGTATTGAGGTTCGACTCGTGTGCGCATGCGCGACAGCCTGGTCAGTTGGCTTCGGATTGGATGGTAATGGCTAAGAGATGAATTAAGTGCAGCGCTGATCGGCTATTTCAGTCAATACAGTACTAAAATTTAATTTATTAACTTCTTCAGTGAATAGAATTAGTTTCTTTTAATTGCAGCTGTTCACACAATAAAATAACCCTTTGCATAAAAAAAGAAATTCTCCAAACCTAGACATGCTTGTATCAAGGTCTGGCCACACTGTCCACAAACTCGAACCGGTCGAATCTGGTGAAAAGTTCGAAGTTTCGTCGAACCGGTTCGACCCAGTCGAACCCCGAAAGTTCGACCAAAAAATCTGGTTCGACAAAAGTTCGCGACACCCCTAACCGTAAGTATTTTGTTTTTTGAAACTATGGGGCAGTTGATTGAAACCGGGGCAAATCATCAATTAGCCGAACCGCGCGTTTTTGTAATGTAAGTAATTGCTTAATATTATTTTGTGTGGTTGTCCCCCACACCAATAAACATTAATAAAGCCTCGAGTGAATCATAGATGTATAGATTTGTCGTTTTAACCAGTTTGGAAGAAGTTGCCTGCACCCTCAGTGCCTGCACCTGAAAAGTAAACCAATGGATCTAGAGATCTTACGGAGATTGTTTACTTGGGCAGTCCAATACAAATTTTCATGGAAACGAACACCAAGAAATTCATAAGATTCTACGTGTTCAATAATGGAGTTTTGATAGGATATATTAATTGTATTAGTAATGGGTTTGTTTTTTGCTCTAAAAATGATACACTTAGTTTTCGACGTATTTAGTTCCAACTGATTTGCAACTAACCACAAGTGAAGTTGGTCCAACCAAGTGTTTGTCTTTGTCTCTAAAGTGTATAAGCAATTTCCGGTGAAAAATACATTCGTGTCATCTGCGTATAAAGTTGTGTCAGGAGTTTCTGGGATGTTTATAATGTCATTAACGTAAAGAAAAAGTAGAGGCCCTAAAATTGATCCCTGCGGGACTCCATACTGAATTTTTGCTAAAGAAGAGCGTGCGTCATGAAGGACCGTATACTGAAGACGAGATGTTAAGTAGCTGCAGATCAGGCTAAGTGCAGTACCTCTTATTCCATAAAGCGGTATTTTCAGAGTAGGATGTCATGTTTTATGGAGTCAAATGCTTTTTTGAAATCTATAAAAACAGTTAACGTTGTGTTCCCAAATTTAATGAACTCAAAGGGGAAAAACTAAAAGTATTAGTAACTATGTTTTCTTGGTATAAGCTTTTTTTTTTTTCTGGTACTGTTCAAGTTGAAGACTGCACAACAAAACCTCTGTTACATTTATTGATTCAAATATATTTGTTTATATAATTTTTTATTTGTATATTTACATGGAAACTGGCATCGGCGCTTTGGCATTGCAGGGTATGTTAAGTACAGAACTGTTCTCATTGTCAAAACTATTACACAACATTTTTTTTTAGTTAGCACAAATAAAAAAACAATATCAAGCAAAACTCCCTTGATACTGAAATATTAAAAACAACAGACACACATAAAAGCACAATTTTGTCATCAAACACCACCTTCGAAATTAGGCAAAAATACATCCTTCGGCAATTCATTCCACTCTTCGATTGTTTTTGGAAAAAAACGAAAATGCAAAAATATGAGTACAACAAGAGTAGGGTCAGTGTTTTCCTGATTTTTCTGTTCTTTCCACAAAAAAAAAAGCAGAAATGTGTCCCAGCTGATTAGGAGGCGATTGTGATATATGTTATCAAGGAATATTAACCTAAAAGATTTTCTTCCTTTGCTAAGTGATTCCCAATTTAGGGTTCCCTTCATACTGGTGACGCTCGCTCAAAGTTGATAATTATTCAAAACAAATCAAGCACACTGGTTCTGATAGTTTATCTATTAGATTATTGTAGTGGGAGTCCCAGACAATTGACGCGTACTCCATACATGGGCGAATAAAAGTAAAACACAGTTTCCTTAATTTTGCTTGATCCTTGTAGGAAACTTGGTCTTATAAAATTAAGCATACGTACTGCCTTTTGGGCTATCGTATCTACATGCGCTTTCCACGTTAAATCACTAGACAGCATAACCCCCAGTTACTTTGCGTTTGATTCGGTTTTAATTATTTCATTATTTACTATAGAATTAGATGAAATAGGACATCTTTTTCTAGTAAATCTCACGCGCACACGCTTCGGCTGGCCCGGGGGGGGGGGGGGGGGGGGGGGGAAGAAGGGAAGAGAAGGGGGGGCGAGGGG